TCAGGCCACGCGGGCGGGCCGGCTTTGCGCCGCTGGCTACGTGTCTCCGGAACGCTACTACCCCATCCGCATACCTTACATGGCTTGAAAGTAAAAATAAAAAGAATTACGATGCGGGCGAGGCTGGCAAGGGGGAGAAGACATTCCACTTCTCCCCAACTAAGGCGTCCTGGCGGGACTCCCAGGGCCTTCCCCAGAGCTCCCCCAGCGCCCACCTCGTGCCCCGAGAGAAAAGGCACAAAGGCACCGCAGTCTCAGGCCCAGGTGGCCGCTCCCCTGGTCGAGTGCAGACGCCTGTCTGCCAAGGGAGGGAGGGTGGCCATTACGGATTACAGTGCAAGAGCCCCATCCTAAAGGCCGGGCCAGTAGAGCCTCTCCAGTGGGTTATGCTCAACGCCCGACCCACTTCTAAACCTCCAGCAAAAAGCTTCCTCTCCTTCATATTTTGAGCTCTCAAGAGCCCAACAATTCACAGGGGCCCCCAGCAAATAGCTCAGCAACCACTCCAAGTCTTTAGGTTCCTCCCTAAAGCATGGCCACCAGCTGCTAAAGTCACACCTAGTAGCAGCCTTGGAGAGGAGAGTTCTACAGGACACCCTGGTGGTGACATAAATAAAAATATGTTTGCACAACTCTCCCACGCAGCCAAATCAGCAGGTTGCAACACATAAGAGAAGTCCAGGTCACTCCTGCCACCCTGACCTGAACCCGACCCGAGGGAGCGATCTGAAAACTGCAGAACCACCAGTAAGAAGGCCCCAGTGACCTCCCTCAGAAACCTCTCCAGCTTGCAGTACTTTATAACCTAGCCAAAGGGGGAGATAAGTCCCACAGGGTGTCGGAAGGTTTTTATTGTCGTTTTCTTATTTCAAAAAAGAAAGAACCCCCAGTTAATCTAAGAGTCATTCCCCTTAAGATGGTGGGTGGCAAGTCTTCAGCAAGGACTCTCACCACAGGCCTCCTTACTTACCAAGTACCATGGCAAATCTCAACCACAAGATGATTCAGAGGTGGAGGCCGAAGGGCAGCCGGAGTTCATCAGCCCCACCCCGTTCATTACTGAGCACTGGATGTGACCTACCCTGAGCCACGAAGCAAAGGTATGAGGTCAGAGAAACAAACTAGATCATCTCTGAAGTCAGAACTGGTAACAAAGCCAGGACAGGAGCTCAGCCTAGTGAAGGTCCCACCCCTCATCAGCATATCAGTGGAGAGCTGAATCTCCCATCAAAGGAGCCAAGGGGAGAGACCTTTGTCCTCACACCTTACCAGCCAGGACAGGCCCCCCCAACCTCCAACCACACTCACACCATAGCTAGAAATCTCTTTACATTAAGTAGAGGTGGCATGTTATTTCCACCCCAGCACGTTCCTTCTTTCTCAGAGTTCAGACTGAGAGGATGTGATCTGAAGGTTACTGCACGTGTCATTCTTTCCGTGCAAGCTGTTAGCCTCCAGTGACTGAACCAGCCATCCCGGGTGAACAAAAACTTAAAAGATGAGCAAGCCTTGGGCCAGGGGAAGCCATAAGCAGAGGGTGGAGTGTGGTTGAGGTAAGCTGCCTTTTATTAGCTCGCCTTCTTCTTCTGGGTGGTGTTTGTTTTTGGTTTGTTTCTCCCATTCTCAAGCATATTCCTTAAGTTCTCTCTCTGCTATTACAAATGTGGCCTGAAGTGTGGACCAGCCAGGCCTGCTTTGGAGGGCAGAGTACACATGTCTGTCTGCCTGCCTGCCGGTCTGTCTGTCTTAAATGGGGGATCAGCCCTTTACTGAAAGCCAAAGGCAGGCGTAGTGTGGCTTTTTTACCTTGTAATTCCATAGAATCCTGGCTCGGGGACATGCTCCCTGACAAAAGGGTGCAGGGGCCAAATTCATTTAGGAACAACCTCCTTAATTCCCCTCTTGAACTTTCAAAAAGTACCCTTGTGCCTTAGATCCTTAGAAACCTCAAAGAAACAAGTGGAACTGTTTAAAAACACCTTTGACAGCAGAATTCTATGTGTGCCCCAGAACTCGCTGTGGGCAACACTTATTTCCTGACTGAGGACTGGATGGGACCATTCTGCAGCCCCATCTGGGAATGGGATGAAGAGTGAGCACCCAGACTCCAGCCCGGAGAGGAATTCCTCTCCCCCTCATGTTTTGTGCCTTCTTCTCCAACATGCTTCTCTGCCCTGGAACATTAAAGCCCCTCTCCCATCGCTGATTATGTGGCCAATATGATTATTTATGGAATGGTTCAGTGTAAAGCCCGGTGATCCTGCTCCAGGCAGTAACAACTGAATAGATGAGCAGTGAGAGCACTTGCTGCTGGTGGGAAGGCCTGAGGGACTTTCAAATATAAGGAGGAATCTGAGGCAGGCCTGGGAAGACGGGTACGTAAGAGGAGACTTGGGTCAGCCCAGGGCAAGCAGCACAGCTGGGCTGTGCAGAACTGAAGTCATCATCAGGTAATTTTTGTCTCCATCTCTCTCTTTCCATATTATCTTTACTGCTTCCCTCTGCAGAGCTGCTCCACGCTCCTCCCTGCAGGCTGGCTTCCTCTGCTCGCTTACCAAGTCCTGAGGACCTTCTGACTTTAGACTCCACCACCTTCAGACTGCCTCAGTCTTCCACAAGAGCTCAAATTCTCAGAGAAATCATCTGATTGGCTTAGCCTGAGTCAGGTGACTAATCCCTTCTGCCCACCCCCTCCAAATAGCCTCCAAATAGCTGAGGCAGGGGGCACGGTGGAACCATCTGGTACAACAGGACTAGGGAGGGGAGGGAGATGACTTTGGAAAGAGGATATCTAGCTCTTAATTGTTCCAAACACTAGAAAAAATTATGTGACATGATAAAGGAGTTAGCTAAGCTATGATGGCAATCATATTGCAATATAAACATACCAAATCAATAGGCTATGCACCTTAAACTTACACACAGTGTCCTGTGTCAAGTATATGTCAATTTGAAGGAGGGGGATGGGAAAGAAAGTGGAAGGGACCATGGGCCCGGGACGAATTCTGGAGGAGGAAAGGAGAAAACAAAGACCCAAAACAGGCAGAAGCACTCAGAAAGCACTGCAGAACCCATACAAAAGGGAATAAAGATTATTTATTTTTAACCTATTTTTTTTTTAATTCGAGAAAATGCTAAAATATTAAAACAGTGGTTCCCTCTAAGTGGTAGAATTATGGGGTAAGATGTTTGCCTGCTTCGTTCATCCTTGTCTTGTTTCCAACTTTTCTACCATGAGCACCCATTACATTTATAATGTTTTCATAAAGAAAGGAGGGCGCATTCGAGAGCAGGGATTCTCAAACTTGAGTGTGCATCAGAATTACCTGTAGGGCAATTAAAACACAGCTTGCTGGTCCCCAACCCCAGCGTTTCTGATTCAGTAGGTCTGGGCTGGGCCCTGAGAATTCACATCCCTAACAAGCTCCCAGATGATGGCTGCCTCTGCTGGTCCAGGGACTATACCAGTGATGGCGAACCTATGACACACGTGTCAGAGATGACGCGCGAACTCATTTTTTTGGTTGATTTTTCTTTGTTAAATGGCATTTAAATATATAAAATAAATATCAAAAATATAAATCTTTGTTTTACTATGGTTGCAAATATCAAAAAATTTCTATATGTGACACGGCACCAGAGTTAAGTTAGGGTTTTTCAAAATGCTGACACACCGAGCTCAAAAGGTTCGCCATCACTGACCTAACACTTCATCCCATCTCCACTCCCTCAACGCTCCCTCACCCCAGATTCCTAATTCCTCGCCAGGGCCCGAAGTCACAGAGGGAACCAACAGCTTCTTCAGAGCCGTCCAGGTAGCATCACCACCTTGTAGATGGTGGGGTAGCAAGATATCTTCCATTTTAAAAGTAAGAATCATTTGGTGGGAGAGGTAGAGATTGTTTTTAGACTTAGTTAGTCCCTTTTGCTACTCAAAATAAACATCTTTGTGCTCAGTTAAAAGCTTTCCAAGATGTTCACAAGAGAAGGGGAAATTCTTGCCAAAAACTTAAGCCCAACCAGACAGGGATACTGAAATTTTGCTGCCTGTGGGAACACGTGGCCAGGCAGGACTCTGGCATGAAAACAGTAATCTGTGTTTAAACGATGGTGGCGCAGAGCTCGGGTGGTTCAGAGCTATGTTCAGGGCACACTGTGGACGGGGTCCATTCCGTTTCTAGTTTCAGTTCATAGCACACTCTTGTCTATTTACAGAACTTACAACTCGGCAAACCTTGGTACTTATGGTTGGAGGGTGCAGAGAAACACTTCTCTCACTCTTCTCACAGCTTTAGTTCTGCTTCCAATTCTCAGCAGTTGCAAAATGCTTAAGAAGATCGTAGCCCAAGAGTCCTGTCTGCAATTTTACAGGGTCATGACCTTGGGCAAGACACATAACCATCTCTGAGCTGCAGTATTCTCCAGCCATAAAACCGTAAAAATAATGCCTGTTTTCCTTTCCTTTCAAGAATGTGGTGACGGTCAAATAAAATAAATGTAAACACTTTGCACATTAAAAGGTACTATATGAACACAAGGTATTTGTAATTATCAAATGCTCCCCCCCAAACCAATTTATTTCAACAATAAACTTCTCACCTCTGCTCTTTCTTGTACCTCATCTGTTTCTGGGTCCTTTAAGCATCGTCATGGTCTTTTTTTAATCCAACATTCTCTTTGTGGTTAATAGAAACATGGACTTGTTACCAAACAGGCCAACCTGCATCTACAGATCTCTCTAGCTTTTTGGGAGGAGACCAATCTACAGCCTTTAGTAGAACCTCATTTATTTTGCAGTTATGTGCAGAGCATTTAATATGAATGGGCAGGTCCAACCTCAAGGAACACACCATCACATCTAAGCATTTCAGACCAACCAGATATATTGATCTGGTCTAGATAGGCTATGGCTGAATCTTCTCTCTCTGGCCTCTGCTCCTTGAAGTTCAGATATACCCGGACCAGTTGAAGTACAAGTTGAACTTTGATGTCCCTCAATCCTGCTTTTCTGGAGAAAGCAGGTAACTTTATCCAACTACCAGACTGCCTACCCCCACGAGGCAGCAAGCTCCACAAAAGCAGGACACACGCCTGTTCTATTCAGCAATGCACACAGCGCTTACCCCAGAGCCTGTGCTCAACATGTGCTGAATGAATGCACTGAAAGGCGCAACAATGTATTTAGGAGGCTGTTGGCTGGGACATTGTTTAAAAGGGTGAAAACCTGGAAATTGCAGAAATAAGAGGCTAGAGGCATATTATTACATGGCCACCGTGCCCCTAGCGTCCTGTGTCCCCTTCTGTCGCATTTTCCAGCCGTTTTAAGTGACGCTTTCCCGGCTGAATGAATGCCCTGAAAGGCGCAACAATGTATTTAGGAGGCTGTTGTTTAAAAGGGTGAAAACCTGGAAATTGCAGAAATAAGAGGCTAGAGGCATATTATTACATGGCCACCGTGCCCCAGTGTCCCGTGTCCCCTTCTGTCGCATTTTCCAGCCGTTTTAAGTGACGCTTTCCCTTTCCTGAATCACTTTCATGTTCTCAAAGACTGTGCGTGTGACACAATTTGCAAACATTTCACAAAGTAAGAGTTTGGGGGGAAATAAATATGTTATCAAAGCCTTTTCACCAAATGGAAGCATTTTGTGATCTTTTCAATCTGAAGGGACAAAATGACCCCTTTCTGAAAAGGCTGGTGCTCCGAGCATACGGGAATTGCTAAGTATGGCCAATATTATACCCTGCGCGTGGGGTCTGTTGTCTGGTTGCAGGAAGGCTTTCGATGTATAGGTTCTGAGTATCAAACGTTCTCTACAGACTCGTCTATAGGTACAAGGGTGAGAGGAGATGCTCCTGAATTAAGAATTTGGGGGGAGGGGAGGGGGACATTTACTCTCTATTTCCAGATTGCTCTTCTGTAACAACGTATGCTTATAAGAGGTCAAGTATGGTTCCATTTTACCTTTTTTCAAATCTGATAGGAAAGTCTGTGCCCGGCTTGAGGCACTCCACGTGGCCAGAATGCACGTGGCCATGATTTCTTTTTTTTGTTGTTAATCCTCACCCGAGGCTATTTTTCCATTGATTTTTAGGGAGAGTGGAAGAGAGAGGAAAAAACAGAGAGAAAATTCGATGTGAGAGAAACACATCGATTGGTTGTCTCCTGCACAGGCCCTGGGCCCGGGCCAGGGAAGAACATGCAACCAAGGTAAGTGCCCTTGACCGGAATCGAACCTGGGACCCTTTGGTCCACAGGCTGACGTTCTATCCATTGAGCCAAACCAGCTAGGGCTGGCCAGAACTATTTCTGCTCCTCCTGCCTTCCCGGGGATACTCCCTGTCGTCAGGAGCTTACCCTACAAGAGGCTCCCACTCTGAGCTCTTGGACTCCATCATCTCCAGCCAAGTCTTGTTATCTGAGGTAGCTGTGTTCTAGGGCCTCCGTATACAATGAATTAGCAAGGACTGAGCCATGGCTCCTAGAGGAAATACAGGGTTAAGTTCCCGAGCAGCGGTCACATTTCCGTGAACTGATCAATACACAACTGTATTTTCTCTGTTTCCATTTAAAGACACCTTATTTAACATAAAATGTGGAGGCTTTAACACTGAACTTGCAGCCAGCAGCACTATTAACTCACACCCAAACAAAGCTCACCTAACTCATGTATTTCCCACAAGGCAGTCTACCTGGGCATGCTTAGAACTCTGAACAACACTTTAGCACTACGACGGGGGGGCCATTGTAAACAGTAACACCACCAACAAAAAGCACAAAACACAGACTAAACAGGCCACAGAAAGGACACCTGTTCCTGAAGGGGGGAGAGCTGTGGGGAGGGAGGGGTCTCTCCTGCACAGGCCCTGGGCCCGGGCCAGGGAAGAACATGCAACCAAGGTAAGTGCCCTTGACCGGAATCGAACCTGGGACCCTTTGGTCCACAGGCTGACGTTCTATCCATTGAGCCAAACCAGCTAGGGCTGGCCAGAACTATTTCTGCTCCTCCTGCCTTCCCGGGGATACTCCATGTCGTCAGGAGCTTACCCTGCAAGAGGCTCCCACTCTGAGCTCTTGGACTCCATTCATCTCCAGCCAAGTCTTGTTATTCATGGTAGCTGTGTTCTAGGGCCTCCGTATACAATGAATTAGCAAGGACTGAGCCATGGCTCCTAGAGGAAATACAGGGTTAAGTTCCTGAGCAGCGGTCACATTTCCGTGAACTGATCAATACACAACTGTATTTTCTCTGTTTCCATTTAAAGACACCTTATTTAACATAAAATGTGGAGGCTTTAACACTGAACTTGCAGCCAGCAGCACTATTAACTCACACCCAAACAAAGCTCACCTAACTCATGTATTTCCCCACAAGGCAGTCCACCTGGGCATGCTTAGAACTCTGAACAACACTTTAGCGCTACGACGGGGGGCCATTGTAAACAGTAACACCACCAACAAAAAGCACAAAACACGGACTAAACAGGCCACAGAAAGGACACCTGTTCCTGAAGGGGGGAGAGCTGTGTGGAGGGAGGGGTCACG